AGGAATGGGGCTGTGTCCTTTCCTGATGTGTTTCCCTGCACTACATATGGTTTGAGGGCAGATTGGATTTTGGCTAGCAGAGTGGCAATGCAAGAGGCAGCTCAGGCACGAGGAAGGCTGGGGAGTTCCAGAGGAGTGTTGTTGGCCAGCAGCTGCTCTGGAGGATCAGGCACCACGCTGGGTGAACTAGCAAGGCTGAATCCCATCCCTGGCAGCACAGAGACCTGTGGCTCTGGGGCTCTGGGGACAGAGGTTTCCCATCTGATGTCTGCAGTGGCCTGAGGTGATGTGAGAACACCCCAGCCTGGCCTGAACCATTTTTTAAAGGCCTCTGCACTTTACCATGATGAACCTGGATCAAAAGCAAAGAAAAGCCAGAAACACAACTTCCTATTCCTTAGTCAAGAACTGTGACAGAGTTTTCATTCACATCACCTTCCAGATCCTCAGGATCTCTTCATCATGATATTCCAAAAGTCAGTGATTAGCACAAGATATTTCTGGAGGCCAGGAAACATGGAGCAAGAAATTCCGTAAAGGAATCCTTCACAAAAAAATTACCTATTACTATTTTCATAAAACTATAGATTGATCTGGGTCAAAAGGGACCTTAAAAACTATCCTAGTTCCAACTCCCTGCCAGTTTGTCCATCTAAAGTATTCAGCTAGCCATGATAACTATGGATTTGAGGTTATATATTATTTATCCTCTAAAACCATTGGTCTCTAAGCATGTAAGGCATAGAGACCCCACCTAACACAATATAGGAAGTCTGAGACAAAATAACACCTGAACAGCTTTGACCACTGGGTCAACTTCCTCTATAATTTTGCTGGATTATGGAAAAAACTAAACAGTTCATTTTGCCAATTATCTAATAATACAGATTTTACATTATGTATATATATACACAAGAAATTGAAGCCTGTGCACATTTATCTCAGGTAATATTCACAATCCAATGGAATTTCTATAATAATACATGCATGGTTTATGTAACATTTAAAATTCATATACACACATATTTTTCAAAGTGCATTAGCAGGACACTTAGCATGGCAGGTTGTCCCTCAGTGCAGAATTAGTATTTTCTACTTTTCCTCTTTGTTAATTCTTCCTTGAAACCCACAAGAAATCAGCTTCATCAGTAACTGATTTTGGCTGCTGTGCACCTATAAATGAGTAGCATTTATTTGCCACATTGCTGCTCTCACAATGTGGCCACACAATTGCTCTCCTTTGTTTAAAGTTCTCCTCTAAAAGGTTCTCTGCAAGGGCTGTGTAGGAGGCTTTGCAGCAGGGAAGTTTGAAATTGTTTTTCTGAAAACTGTTTTGAAGAGCCTGTCCTTTTCAAGGCCTTGGCCAGCTGCCCAGATATTTTCTCTCTTCATTTTCTTTACTCCTGCAGCACTGAATAATAGTTCTTATTTAATATTTTAGATATGAAATATATAGGTGAAGCTCTACCATATAATTCCCTGTTTAGCAGCCATTACTGGGCACTGAGGCACTTCCAGAGATTCTCTTTTTACTAGGATAGTAACTAGTCCCCTACAGACCAGCCAGTTTTGGGATCATTTTTATTGCAATTACACTCATGGTGCATTCCTTGTATTTCATGTAGTCCCCCAGGTGTCAGTAGGAATATCATATTTATGGAGAAGATTGACACCACCCATGTCAGGACCTTGTGTCCTGCTCATCAGTGACACCAAAGAGCCTCAAAAGGTGCTTCCAGGAGCACTGAGCAGATGGCATCAGCAAAGGCACCAGTCTCCCAGCAGAAAATTCCCTCCAGTTTTGATCACAGCCGTGAAAAGGACAACCAAACCCCCAGCACTAGTTATGCTAGGGCACAATAAATTTCACATCAAAACAGGGGCAGCCTTAAAATTTTTGCATACATTGAGGTGTACATGAAAAATTGGATACTTTTCCTTGCTTCAAGGGACTATGAACCATAAAGACCTTCCAGAAATATAAATTTCTTGGAATATAAAAAGTTCAGACTGTGGAAAGAAGACATTTCTGAGAAACAGATTTTAGTCTTTGAAATAATTAGACTGAGCTGAGCAGATTTTTGGCATTATTTGTAAGCCAGTCATTGTTCAGCCTTTGTACTTAGAAGAGCAATTATGACTCCTTTGGAAACATCCTTAGTTGAACTCTTAAAATACTAAAAACACTCCCCCATAAGACCACATCAACATATGGTTTTCGTAATGACAGCACAAACAAATCACCCACTCATCAAACATTTAGGAAGAAGACAGGAACAAATAGAACAAACAAATTTTGTAAAGGTTACTTACTGATCCTGATCAATCAGAAGGGGAAAAAAAAAGCTGAACTGAATGCAGAAATTGCCTATGGGATATAGAATGCACATAAAATATGCAAAATATAAATAAGCAAAACCATAAAACAAATACTGCAAAACAAAGTTTATAGACAATGTGCTGTGAAGTTGTATTTCACAAATATTGAGCTGCTGATGCCCAGTTTTATCATTCCCTCACTAGTTTACTTTTTAACTTCAGTGATATGTCATGAGTAAGTAAGAAAAAGTACATCTACACTAGTGATCATTATCAGAACATCCTTCCTGGTTTCACCACCTTCCTGGTAACTCCAGGGTCAGGCCCCTGTGGATCACAAAATCATTTGGTTTTGCTTGCCCTCTTCTGAGTGAATCTATGGTTTGTGACTACAAGAGCAGACTAGAGAACTCTACATTGCTTGTTTAGACTCCAGCTGGACAGTGGACCAGCAAATATCCTACACTTCTCCTCTTCCTCTGAGGAATTCTGGATGAGACTCAGTGAGAACACCATTCAAACACCAATGGCTGGATGGGAGCCATTGCTACCTCTGTCACTGTTGCTGCAGTCTGTGGGATTGGCCAGATGGTGTCAGTGCCAGGAAATGTATGGCACAAATGCTTGCCTCTATGTCTTGCTCATTGAGTTAATGACAGGACAACAAACTAGATTTCCTCCTCTAATCCCTACCCATAGCATTTTCAGGTCCAATCAGAGTCAGAATTGCTGCTTCTACAGATGTCTAACTCCAAATGATGTCTCAATCAGCTTCAGTAAATGGCACGGCCTCTGTCTCGCCCTGTGCTGAAAGCTCTGCAGAGTAGGGCTTGGTCTTCTTTAGGAGGGTGCAGCTTTCACTCTGCAAAAATCATTATCCAGTCATTGTAGAGACTGTAAGTGCTGAAGGTGGTCAATGGCGATGAGTCACGGTGGGTACAATAATTCCACAGAAACAAATATGGGAGAAAACCAGGAGGACAAGGTGAATGTCATCTGTCTTTGAACAATTTTATCCGGGGCAATGGCTGCTTTCAATTTTTGTCAACCTGCATTAGTATTTTATAAGAAATCAAGATCTGAGTATTTAAAACCTGGAAAAATTAACAGTGCTACTGGAAACAATGCTATCATACAGTTGTGTCATTATTATTGAGATTTGAAAGGTAACTGAATGAGAGTCTGATCCTTTGGGCAATCTTTAAAGAGAGGTTTTGTTATAAATTATTTAAATGTTTTGGCGATTCCTCTGTAAAGTTAGGGAAAGCCTTGGTGATGAATTACAGTTACTGCACACAAACACAATAAGGAATGCCTCTCTAGCTTGTCCGGCTGTCTCTCCAGTTGCCAGGGGTCTCAGTCTTTGCAGGAGAATTACCCGTGGAAAGAAATCCAGTTCCCCTGATCTCAGAGTCACTAAAGCAAGCCAGTCCTTTGGCCAGAGAGCTGTTATTTTGAGATCTCAATCTAGGAAGGGGATACAGCCTTGGGGAACGGGGCAGTTGGAGGCAGCCGTGTACTCTGGGAGTCTCATGTTTGACTGTCTTGGCACGTTTTCAGTTATCTGGGGGAAATGTGTTTAGTTTTATTCCAGCCAAAACCAGGCAGCACGGAAGAAGAAGCTGTAGGAGGGCTCTTCATAAGCTTGAGGTGACCTGAGAGCAGCCAGGTGTTTCAGTGAAGGCTACCTGTGACTGGCACAGCAGCATCTGATCAAAGGTTTTCCTTGGCAGCAGTGATGACTCACAGTACTTATCCTTTCTCTTTGTGTACTGTCTAGTGTTTACTCATTACAGTTCTGTATTGCATTTTCTTTCTTGCAAGAAAATGAAAAACATTATTGCCGTGTTTCCCTTCAGTTTAGGATTTTTAACCTTTTTTTGGTGCAGGGCTTCACAAACAGAAAAATCTGAAATTCTTTGGGCTCTTCACCTCTTAGATGGTATTTCTGGAGGGTCTTCAACTATTTCAGCGTGGATTTTTTGTAAATCTGCCCTGCCCAGTTATTACCCTGTTACCCTTAATTTTTAAAAGCCAAGAAAAGAAGTTTCATTTTTCTTTTCATTGTTTATATGCACTTGTGCTACAGAAAATAGGAACATCTGTTAGCTGTGGAAGTGGTGTGTATGATTGATTCATCATCACAGCTCCTCTAAAAAGTAATTCCTTACATTTGCTTGACAAGACAGACTGCCAGACTATCAGTCTGTTCTCACTCTCTGTTGGTTTGTCCGAGTACTTGAGTGACAATAGCAGGGAACTCCAGAATACCTACAGGATTTACCAAGGGAATTGGATATTTATCTCTGAAGGAGAACTTGAAATCAAAATATATCATTACATTCATGATCACAGCTAAAAGCTGTTTAAAGAACTTCTCTAAAATAATGCAGTACTACAGTCAGCACACTTTTCTGTAATTTTATAATATGGACATACAGTAAACTAAAGGTTACCTCCAGATAGTTAAAAATCTTTCGTATTTTATTTACAAGAAAACGGCAAATTAAGAACAGACTTGGCAGAACCCTTTCATTAAAATAAAAGTCACTTTGCATATGAGAAGAGTTTTAAACAAGAATATAACAACAGAGAGACACCTATATCAGATTGAAGACAGCCTTCCAGGGCCTTGCAAGACTTTCTAAGATTCAGTTCCCCTCGCTGCCCTTTATTTGCCTGGGCAATCACACGAAGCCTCAAATTTAGCTGAACACTTCAGTTTTTATTAAGCATTTTGACTATGCAAGAGGAACCTTCCTGAGTCATCTCCTCCTGCATTCTGCTCCTTCCCGCTGCCTCCAGGGGAGATCCTAAAGGAATGATGAGCTCAGCCCTGCCCCAGGAGTGCTCTGCCACAAGCTCAGCTCCCCTCTGGCCGTGATCCCAGTTTTTCCAGAGGCAAGGCACACCGACCATCCCAACGCATGCATGGGATTCCCACAATAGCAGGAGGTCACGGTCAGAGCTCTGTGCTGCAGCCCAAGCCTGGTAACTCATCAGAGCTGAGATCAAAATATTAATGGATAATCAGCTTGCCTTATTATCAATACAGTAAACAAAATGAACAGGAAAGATCAATTCCCCCCCTTAACTTCTTATTTTTATTTCCTTACTTTTCCAGACTAGGGCCATGGGAATGTGTCCTGCTGCAGCCGGACCTGACACTAACCATCAGTTTTGTTTAATAAGTGCTGTGGTACATCTTACCTGGGTGATGTCTTTGGTTGTTACCTGTTTAAACACCTTCCACAGCACACTAAACTTGTTTTTTCTTTTTGTATCAGTTGAATTCTTCAGCAAGAGACTATTTAAACTCGTGTTAGCTAATGGAGACAATAGACATATCTTTCTCTGCACGTTTCTCCTCCACTTATACATGGATTGTGGTGGGAATCTATAAGTTAAATTTCATTAGGATAAATGAATTAAGATTTATGGTTGGACTCAATAAAGCTCTTTTCCAACCAAAATTTTTCTGTGATTCTAAGATAAAGGAGGCTGTTATCAAATTAGAGTACTACAAAACTGAAAAGCAGAATTTAATTATGTTCACAAACAAGAAAAAAATTTTCATAATTAAATTTTGTTGAACCTCACAACTAACATTTTACAAAGAAAAGTGACAAAGGAAGGTTGAAGACAAGCAATACAAGCAAGCCATCCAAAATCTCACATGGAGATGGCAGGAGACACAAGGATGTGTATTTGTTAACGCCATAATTACAGGGAGGATTATCTTCATTTTAACATCACAGAATCATGGAATATCCTGAATTGGAAGGGACCCACAAGGATCATCAAAATCCAGCTCCTGGCTCATCCACAAGAATCCAACCATGTGCCTGGGAGCATTGTTCAAATGCTCCTTGAGCTCTGTCAGGCTTGGAGCTGTGACCACAGTCTTGGGGAGCTTATTCCAGTACCCAACCACCCTCTGGGGGAAAAATCTTTTCCTGACATCCAAACTAAAGCTCCTCTGATGTAACTTCATGACATTCCCACAATTCCTGTCCCTGGTCACCATGGAGAAGAGATCAGTGCCTGCCCCTGCACTGCCCTTTGTCAGGAAGTCATGGAGCTTCCTACTGCAGTAACAGTCCAGGTTATTGCTCCACAACAGCCCTTGCCCAGCATCTTGATGGACTTAGAACCCAAATCCCTTCCCAGACATTTCTCTGCCATTTTCCAGCCAACAGAGCTTTGAATAACAGCATGTGCACTCAGGTTTTTAAAAAGGAATCATCCATTCACTCCAATACCTTTATTACCAGGTTATTCTGACTGCATTTACTAGGTTAAGCCTGTGGAGAACATAAGTTTCACTCACAAGTAAGGCCTAGTGGAGAGGGCTGGCAGTGTGTGTTGCCTTTAGTTTCTATAATTAATCATGCAAAATGGTAAAAAATTAAAGGATGTATGTTCCAGTTTGGAATTCTGGTCAGCAGCACAAAGCTGCTAAGATTAGAGTCGCACAGGCATTTGAAGATTGGGGGTCTCTCTTCTGCTTTTTGGGGTTTTGGGGCATTTTGGTGTTTTTGGTTGCTTAGTGTGGAGTTTTTTATTCTTTGTAAGGTATGTGTGTGCCATGTGTGTTCCATTTCAAGTTGTGACCCTGAACCTGCTTGTCACAGCTATAAGGACAGAGGGTGGCTGCACAGCCTGAACTTGTAGGCAGCATTTACAGAGCAAAGAGAGCAATTTTTCTGTGCAGTCCTTCTGATGATACAGGAAAACATTTTGTTCCTGAAGAACCTTTAAGGGTGAAGCCAAAATGTGGCCTGAGTTTAAATTGTCTACCTTTCCTTGGAAAATCTGTCAGAATCTGCAATGAATAGCTTGAAGGAAGCATCAGGGTGCAAGAGATTTGAATGGGCCTGAGGAATTTTATACATCACAGTGAAGCTGGTAAAAGCTCTCCCAGTTATTCTTGGTCTCTGGAGCCATGAGGTTTGCTGTCTCTGCACAGGGTACGGATTTTGCTGGAAGCAAGAACAATCCTGACATCATTTTCTGTGCAAGCATTGAGCCAATCCCCCAGGCAGTGCCTGCAGATCCCAGGCAGATACTGGGAGCACCACTGCACCCTACTGTGGTGTCCATCCAACTGGAACCAACTGGGAAACATCTTGTGTTGGGCAAGGGGTGCATCCTGATCCCAGAACAGAGACACCCCAACCCAAAACCTTTCCCTGGGGCTTTCCTAAACTCCTTCCCTGCCACTCACACCACCCTGACTTGGCAAGAGGGCTGCAAAAGGAGGCAAACAGAATTTGCACGTAGTACATGATGCAGCTACTAATGTTAATCTTTTAAAAGTGCTAATTATATAAACCTCCCTGTTCTGAAAGGAAATTAATATAATTGTTTGCACAGACATGGGGAAAATCATCTGAGAAGTGCTGCTGTTTTTTAACTGATCGTAGTTAAAAATAGGGAAGCCAAATCTTAAGAATTCAAGCTACAAAAGGTACAAAAATAGCCAGGCTTGCACAACGTGAGCAAAACTCTCCGGTCACCTCCCTTACCTTACTGGCATCTGACTGGGAAATGTCAACAAGCACTTTTTTACTGATTGGGAAGGGAATACCAAACCCACCAATTTTATGCTTAAACAAGAAAACGCCCAAGATGCACAGTGTTTGTCAAAACAAATCATAAGAGACAAATCTGTTTGTTCCTTATAGGAATGTATCTGTTGAAAACCTTAGAGAAAGCAATATATTACCAGTTCTGTCTGGCATGCTGTCACCTAATTATCACAACGGCAAATGTTTGTAATAAAAATAATTTAATAAGCAAACAACCACTTTATACACTAATTTCAAGTTTTATATGCTAATTTCAGTTTCAGAGCGGACTACAGAAGGACTTTCTCGTGGAAGATACATTCTTCCCTCCTCTGGTATGTCTGTAAAGGCTGGTGTAATTAAGGGGTTTAATTAAAATCCTAAATGCTTACTCCATAAAAATAGCTTTATGACATACAGAAAAGTGGATTTTTTTCCATTATAATTGCCTGTCTTGTGTATTGAACTTGTAAGAGTTCAAGTGAGAAGCTGTAAACACTTTTAAATAATTTGTTTTCAATTTTATTATTTATAAATTAAGTTCCTTGATATTTTCTTCATTCATATTGCGATAAAGCTCCTAAAGGTGCACTTACGGTGTCAGCCACCCCTGTTGCGGCTGCATACATTTAAAAAAACAGTACTAAAATACAATTATGTGGCTTTTAGCCCATTGAAACCCCACCAATGCATTGAAGGAGTGAGCACACCAGGGCTCAAATTTAGTTTTTTCCAATGTTTCACAGCTCACATTGGCTTTAACCTTTGTACTTTGAGGGGCCTTGTGTTTGGTTTTTTCTGGTTATTAATTTTTATGGGCTCGTGGCATATGGGCTGCTGTCCAGCCATGCCTGAAGCCACTGCTCTGTTCCTCATCACAGCTGGAGATATTGAGAAGGTTTTGGGGTTCTTACCCTCATCACTGGCATCAATGAGCCCCTCACGGCACCGGCTTGAATATCGTGTGCGGCTTTGAGCATCACAATACAAGAAACACATTGAACTGTTGGAGAGAGCCCAAAAGAGCAACGAAGATAGTGAAGGGCCTTGAGGGGAAGGGTGTGAGGAGCGGCTGAGGGCGCTTGGTCTGCTCGGCCTGGAGGAGACTGAGGGGAGACCTCACTGAAGTTACACATTCCTCATGAGGGGAGAGGAGGGGCAGGCACTGATCTCTGCTCTGTGGTGACAGTGACACAGCCTGAAGTTGTCAGGGCAGGATATTAGGAAAAGATTCTTCCCCTGGAGGGTTCGCTGGGCAGTGGAACAGGCTCCCCAGGGCAGTGGTCACAGCACCAGCCTGGCAGAGCTCAAGAAGCGTCGGGATAACTCTGAGGCACACGGCAGGATTCCTGCGGTGTCCTGAGCAGGGCAGCCAGCTGGATTCGCTGATCCCTGCGATATCCCTTCCAGCTCGGGATATCCCACCATTCCCAAAGGCACAGCCCCCTCAGGGACACCGCCGGGGTGCGGGGGGCGGGAGGCGCATGCGCGGAGCGGCCGCGAGGGGGCGGCACGGCGGCGGGGCGGGGCGCGAGCGGCCGCTGGGGGCGCAGCGGGGCGGCCGCTCGCCGCCTCAGCACCGGCCAACATGGCGGCGCGGCGGCCCCGCTCCGCCTCAGGTCAGTGCTGGCCCCTTCCTGGCGGGAGCGGGGAGGAGGCGGCGCGGCGGGCGCCCTTCCTCCTCTCGGGGGCGGCGGGCAGCTCCCTCCCGCTGTATCCCGGGGGCGGGGAGGGATGGCCCGGGCTCTGCGCCTCCCTAGTCCGTTGCGTGTCCGTTGCGTGTGCCCCCTCCACCGCGCGGCCCGGCGCATCGGCCCCGGCGCTCCTGGCATCACCCGGGCTGAAGCTCATTCCCGGGATTTAACCAGCGAAACCCTTTCTAGGCAGGCCCGCAGGCAGAATGAGTGCCGGCCGAGCCCTCACGGAGCCGGAGGTGCCGGGGGGATGCGGGACCGGAGCCAGGAGGCTCCAGCCCCCATGGCCGCCGCATCCTTCGCCGTGCGGGGCTCTCCGGGCATCGCCGCGCCTCGTCCTGCGGCCCTTTCGGCACTGGCACAGTTCCGTGTGCTGCTCAATGTCCGGAACATCATTTGTCGCATGCAGGAGTATTTTTCATCGGTAGAAAATGCTCTGGCAGTTACTTGCCATAGAGCATGTTATGCTTGTGTACATGAGTTTTGGTTTAGATAATAATAATTTAAGGGCGGAATGAATGTGACTGTTCATGACAGTGTTTTAATATTCTCCATCTAAAGAAGTTAAACGTGTTGTCCTCAGTACCGCAAAGAAAGAACATTCAATAACAAGTTCTCAGCATTATGGATCTCACTATTTATTATTTAGTACTCAAGACCATGTGGTAATAAAGGGAAATAATGCACACCTATATATGTACTTCTTGCAGTCTTTGAAGCTTTTACCCATACTGGTAGTACAAGTTAAAAAGCTGTCAAAATTCTAATAAAATGTTTATATCCACAGTCTTACTTTAATTCTAGGTAATAATTTAACTTCTTCTGGAATGTCCTACCCATACTGCTGAATTTAGATTTAACCTTAAATATATTTAAGCAAAGTGGACTTCAGTTCATGTGTGTATGTCACAGACTGTGATACGCTTTTAAAATATTTTTCTTTAAAAATCTAGACCCATCTCTTTCCTCTGATGGTCGAGTATACACAGTGTTGAGGATCTCTTAATTTGAAATTGTAGGATGCCTGTTTTGAAAACATTGACAGAATTGTCCTGAAAACATGGAACCTAACTGAAGTCCCTGTGTCATCTGTTTCACTGGAAAAGGAACAGAAGTCGCTTCCTGGCAAATGCTGATGCCTGGTCCTCTGAGGAGAGCACTGGGCCAGAAGTTCTCAATCTTTCCAAGTGTTGGTCTGTCCCTTTGGTTTTTGTTGGGTTTTTTTGTTTGTGGTAGTTTCATTGGATGTCTCTTGAACAGGCAAGGGATTCTTGTTCACCTTTGTAGTGCCAGGCATGGATTTTATTGATTATACCACTGCTGTAGCCTTGTGCGCCTTACCTTGGTGATGGCATAGAATCCCCAAATCCTTTTTTCTGGGAGCTGCTGCACCATAACTTGTACATTGCAATTTAAACCATTGGATTACCCAGTTAATGCCCAAACTGGGTCTGGGGCTTTCACATAACTTGTGAATTTACTCTATAACTGAGAAGATAACATGTTTTAAAATTGCTTTTTCTATTTCAGACCACGACAGTGACGATGATTCCTACGAAGTGCTGGATTTAACAGAATATGCTCGACGTCACCATTGGTGGAACCGCTTGTTTGGCCGGAATTCAGGACCAGTTGTAGAAAAATACTCTGTAGCCACACAGATTGTGATGGGAGGTGTGACTGGCTGGTGAGGGAGCTTCCCTTTCCATAACTGACTTAGACCTTTTACTTTGTTAGAAGATCCATTTCCAAGGGTATTTGAAAGCAGATAAATACGTGTTTAATGGGATTTCCTTTAACATTGATCAAGATTGTTCATGTGTGAACAATTTTAGCTTGTTACTCTGACTCATCATTATGAAGTGTTTTTTAATAGTGGTGAAACATGAGTTATCCAAGGGAACTCATACTAGTTACTGAGGAAAAGATTTGGGAAAATGTCAGAGCTCTAAAATGACAAGAAATAAATGGAAAATTACTGCATGTAGCTTTTACTTTGTATGGAAAAGCATATTTCCTTATCTAGACTTAGAAACTTAGTTATATTATGGCTGAAACATATTTACAGGTAAAAGAAATGAAGGAAAGAAAAAAGGATGGCAAAATGTACTTTTAATTAAGAGCCTCGTTTCCTGGAGACTTTTTTCTTCTAAATTGAGCTGCAGCCATGTTGAGCAAATTCACAGTTTACTCTGATGTTAACTGATACATAGCATAGTTGTACTAGGATAATTCATGGTGAAAGCTAGACAGTAAAGATGAGAACTTAAACTGGAAAATGTCACAGCCTGAGCAGCTGTGTCAAGGTATTTGTTATTTGTCAGAGGTATTTGAATGGTATTTGTCTACTCCAGTACACAGAAAAACTGTAAATTAATTGAAAAACACCATTATAGTAGCAAAGTGATTTTTAAAGAGGGATTATGCAAGAATTAGAAGATGAAATAAACTAAAAATGAAATTATTGTACCAGGCTCAGTACAGCTTTGTGGTGTGGGTTTAGCTTTCAGTCAGAATTTTTTATTTGCTTCTGTAGCCTTAAAGTTATTTTAAAAAGCTATATGTGCACATGTAAACTCAGATGTTTCTAGGGAATAGTTCATTTGGCATCCATAAAAACTGGCTTATTGAATGATCTGGAAAATGCACATTTCAGTATCTGTAGATGCACATCTCTCTGGGTGCCTACTGATGTATATAAATAACAATTCACTATTTATATATAGGGGAAAAAAATTCCCCTCTATGTGTGAGCGAGTGTTTAGACACACTGGAATTGGCCAGGGAAGTTGTGGAACCATCAGCCTTGGAAACTCATGTCTGAGTCAGGGCGCTTGGCAGCCTGATCCAGCTTTGAGATTGGATTGGGCTCTGCAGCAGTTTTGGGAAGGTGACTGGCCCAGGTGACCTCCAGAGGCCCCTTCCTGCCTTGTCATTGTTCTGTAATATCAATATCTGTTCTCCATTTGATGAGGGAGGTTTGGAGCCTGAGAACAAGGTAATTTTCTGGTTGCCTTGATCCATTAAAATAGACTTAACACCATGTCCCAGCAGAGTGCCCTCTCTGAGTTTAACTCTCGTGATAGGGATGTGCTGGTTTTTACTGAGATATTTCAGTTATGAGTTGTGTAGTTAATATAAATTACAGTATAATGTATTTACATTCCACTTGGGAACAGTTATAGTAGCACTGTTATGTAATTATGCTGTGCTTTATTAACATGCTACATTTAATAGCAGTAAGATCTTGGGATCTCAAGGTTATTTTAAAGGGGCCATCAGACAGCCAGGAACAAGCAACCACTACTCACATTGTATTGTTTTAAACATTGTTAATTTAATATTGCTTGCATTAAATAGCCTTGATTTTTAAATTTGTAAATATGAAGTGATACATTTGCTTTTTAAATGAAATAGTGGTAATAGTTGCAGTTAAGAATTGTGTAGTGTGGCATTGTTCAGCAGAAAACTTCATTAGACTGGGTTTTTTTTGTTTTGTTTTGTTCCCCTAAGGTGTGCGGGATTTTTGTTCCAGAAAGTCGGAAAGCTTGCAGCAACTGCAGTAGGTGGTGGCTTTCTTCTGCTTCAAGTATGTAGCATTTCATGCTTTATAAGTTGGCAAATGTTATTTACTAAACAATAGGAAAAGCACAGCTGTTGGGTAACATTTAATTAGGAAGGCATCTTACCTACTTCATTTTTTCAGTCTTATCAGTCAAAACCTTACATTTGAGCTGGAATATTGTGTACAAATGTACAAAGGAGACATTACTTAAATCAGAATCTACTCTGTCCTGTAAAATAGTTTGTTGTAAGACAAGAGAACTTCTGTGCAGAAGCTGAGGTACTGTGTGTGATTTGATGTTGCCAGATGAGAGGAACTGCCTGTAAAACTATGGTTAGGGAGAATTTAAAATGTGTTTGTTTCACTTTGGTTTGATAATTTTGTCATAGCTGCTTTGGCAGTTGCCTGGAAGGCTCGCTCTGGTCCCAGTATGTGCTGTGTTTTTCTGTTTTCTCCCTTTGCCATATTTTATCTATTGAATCTCTTAAAGCCTGGCTGAATTTTGACAGCTTCATTGCATTCCTCTCTCTGCTGGCTTTCGGGTTCAGAAGTTTTTAATTATGTTATCTGGCATGATCATTTGCATTTTTCATAATTGTGATTAGGGGAGGATATATTTCCAAAAAACCTTTGAATTAGATGAAACTTTAAGTGAAGGAGAATTGCATGTGTCTTTCTGTTAAATGCCAGGATTTTACTGGCATTTTTCATGTCTTAATGCCTGTGAGCTTCTCATTTTTCCAGAGATTGTTCTAGGGGTATAGATTGGTGCCTACTTAGGCTCAATGATACACAATTTCTTCAGAGGGGAGGTTAAAGACGTTTATTCTTTCCAGCATCACCCTGGAGGGTTTCTGAAAGGCATATCCTGCTTTTATTTCTTTTGATTGTAGTGGCTGGTGCAGCCAAGTGCTGATCAGGAAGGGTGGGGTGGTAACTGCTGCTGTGTAATACATTGCAGTCTTGCTGTTGTGTGAAGTACACATATTTTCTTCATAGTCATGGTCCCCCACTGGTTTGGGGGCTGGTTTGGTTTTTTCCTCTCCCCATGTTTTGTATGCACTGATCTTAATTGTTTTAATGATAAGTATTTTATCAATATGACTGAATAGCTGCCACACAGAGGCACCCAGGGTGGAGGCAGCAGATTGCTGCAGGTGCCTTCCTCAGTACTCCTGACTACTGGAAGCTGAAAAGTTAAAGCTGAGGCCTGTAGACAGAGGAGAATGGAAATTGAATAAAACCCATCACTTGTGCAGCATTTTTGCTTGTTGAGCTATGAAGTTTGGGGAGCTTTCCTGTACATGCAATAGATTTGCCATGTGGTTGAGTGTCTGATTTCTTGGTTGATCTCATTTACACTGAATCCAAAAAGGAATGTTATCCAAGAGGAAATATGAGTTAAGTATTTTGATTGGATTGTCTATATCTTAAGTAAGATCAGATTCTCCTGAAAGGAAATGAAGTAAATGCCTTAGTCTCTCTTTTAATTCAAAACACTTTGCATTTTAAGGCTGAGTCATAAATTCTATGGTGTAATTACATTTCTGTAGTCTTTAATTTTTTCATTTAAAGATCACACATCTTGATTCTATGAATACGTGTTCAGTGCTTCCCCTGAGTGGGCAGAAGAGTATTTCAGCACATTACTAGAAAGTTCCTTTTTATCTGTAAATTTCTCTGAAGTTGCAGATTTCATTTCAACTGCTGATTGCAATATTGACATTATAATTATATGCTAGAGAACTACAGAAGGCACGATTCTTGGCTAAAGCCCATTCAGTGAAATATTTCAGTCTTAAAATTTAAAAAATAGAATCTTTTCTTCAGTGGGTGATGACTTCATCTCAAGAAACGTCGAAGGAAACTGAAAGCAATACATTCTTCAGTGTCAGTTTGTACAGGAAGCGAAAAATATTTTTGTAAGTGATCTAAAACTTCAGTCTTAATACAGATTATCTGAAAAGTAGTTGGAGAAAAATAATAAAAATTACATGAAATTTGCACAGTTTTTCAAAATCATGATTTGTTATCACATCTTTGTGGTGAATATTTCCACACCTTAATTTGATTAATTCTTATTTGATTATTAACAATGCTCTTTTTTTGTAAAATAGATGTAATTCTTCAAATATGCTACTATAAGAGCAATATCCAGGCACTATATTAAGGAATATATAATGCATTTCTCATAACAAGTAAGGGATTTTCCCTGTATGAATTCTCATTTATACAGCACAGTTTGCTAAAATCCTGAAGAGTAGGGAAGTATGAACTGAGGTACTCTTGGTTCTACTGTAATGAATTGGTTAAAAACAATTGTTCTTAATGAGCACCTAGTAGCTCTTTATTTTTAAAATCCTCAAGAGCAATTCCATTGTCTTTTGTTCTGCAGTGAGCATACAAATTACAGCTTTTTCTTTTCTGTGTTGTCTAGTACTTAATAATGAATTTAGATTCTTATGCAGTTATGTGCTTTCACTAACATATTTTTCCTCATCCCATTAATATGCCATTGATGAATTAAATTGAATTCTTCATTAAATTATGTTCTAATTTAGGAAAGGTAAATATGTGAAAACAACACAAGAAACAAAAACTCTGAGATGTCCTTGGCTTTATCTTTTGTTGCTAGTGCACCATGATGATCAAGGAATCCTAGCATGGGTTGGGTTGGAAGAGACCTTAAGGACCATGGCATTCCAGCCCAGTGTGACATCCCAGTGACATTCCCAGGGAGAGAACAATCTGCTTCTGGTGCTGGGGGTTTAGTGAGGAAGAGTTGGATTCGATTTTATCTTGAATATCCCACAGGCAGTGGGGACAGTGGAGCTGTGCCTGCAGATGGTGGCTGAGGGTACAGCCTCTGCAGTTCAACTCTTACACAGAATGTTGTGTCACTTCTCAGTCCCTCCTTGTCAGTGAGCTTGTCTCCTTGTCCTCTCCCTCCTTGTCTCCTTGAGCTGAGACTTGTCAGATCTGTTGTGGAAACTGGGGGTTGTTCCCTTCCTAAACAGCAGATAATACCTCAGAGTGCCTGTGGGTTCTGTGCCCTGCAGCTGAGCTCACCTGTGCCTTCAGGCCTTGTTTGGGCTCTTTTAATGCCTTGAGGAAATTAAAACTCTTTTGTCCCATCTTGCTGTACAGACTTTTTGCTCCAAAACATTTTTCTGCACATTATTCATGTTAATGTTTCACAATAACAAAGTACCTATGTGCCTCTCCAGCACCACCCCCAAAATGAGGTCTGCTTTTAAAGATTCTCAGTTTTCCTTGATTAATGTCAAGAAAGATAACACATTTTTAGTGCTCCTGCACTGATGTATTTCTTCAATTGCCTTTTTGAAAAAATTCTGTTATTTTTTCAACACTTTTGGAAGGTCTTGAGCAAATAATGAGCTATGAGATATATAGATAAGTATATATCTATGGTTCCATTATCAGATATAGAGAGATTCCTGTAAGCCCAAAATCCACTCCCGCATAGGTCTCATTAATAATATGTGCAATTAATATGTATAGACCTATATGACTTCTTAATATATCCATACAAGTATGGTTATAGTGCTTGTTATTTTACTTGGCTGTTGTAGGGCCTGAGTTTAAAAAAAAACAGTTAATTTTGAGAATTTGCATTTACTGTTATAAGCAAGTAGATTTTTATGGTACATTGGAGTCTAAAAATTGAAGACTGTTTTTTCAGCATTTGAGTTTAGGGGTATTATTTCTGCACTTATATATGAAATTATGTAATTAGTGGGGTTGCAGCCAAAGTAGATATGACATAGGTTCTGTCACTGCCAAAGTACAGGGTTTTTTTTCTTCTCAGTTAAAAAATTTATATTCAAAACATTACCCTCTCTTGCTTATTTCATAAACACTCAATAAGTAAAATTGGAGTCTCTTATTTCAGGCCTACAAAGTTCAGGGAGAAAAGATGTCTGGTTTTGATACAAGTGTAAGCTCTGCAGTAGTTACAAACAGATCTTAATTAAAAACTTCTGCCTCATCTTTGTGCTCTCTGGATAACTGAGCTAATTAAAGTTGTCTTAATGAAATGTTTCTTCCAAGAGCCATTTGCATTTTACAAGCAAGCAGATACATTAGCATTTCTTACATTGTGTTGGACTGAGTAGATCAGTCACATTTAATTTTCAGTTGTATGAGTGAGAAGGCACCAATTCAATGCTGGGGCCTTTTTGAAATTCTTGTGGTCATGTTAAATTCATAAAATAACAATTGCCACAATGTGCAGCTGTTTTTCTTTTCCTGATATTTCATCCAGTGACTGGATGTGCAACCAGTAGAGTTTTCAAACAGGTTTCCTGCTTTCATACAGTACAGACAGCCCTTAATGAGCTGTCCCTGCCTGGCACTAGTGCTCATGTGAATAAATGGTTTTACAGTAGACAGGCAAAGTCAATTAATTTGTTATTAATTACATTCGGAGGCACGAAGTTAAAGATAGTTTAAAATGTAGTGATTTCATTTTGCATTTGTCCAGTGAATTGGTTTTTTTTAATTATGCAAAGGTGGAAATTGAAGTTGACTTTCTTGCAGAGGTGAGGTTCTAGAAGTTTTGTTTTGAATTCAGACAAAATCTGTCTGACACTTGTTTAATTTTATCTTTTTTCTGGATTATGAAATCCTCAGTTTGTGGTGAAATAGGTTGCTTAGTTACTGTGGCCGTTGTAGTACAAGCTAGATGGTCTAATTTCAGTTATTTGGTGGAAAGATCCATGTGAAAGTCAAGCTTCAGAGCCTGTAAGTGATGTGAAACTAAACATAACAAATTGTGTATTTAGGCTTAACCTAATAAATTATATCTTTAAATACCTGTTTCACAAAAGTTCATTATCTGTGACTTATGTTTACCAACTGGACAGTTTGCATAGAAGGCTGGTAGGTAAATTGGGTGGATTTCCCACCCACATGTGACCTTAAGAAGTACCTGAGAAATCTCACACTTTACAAAGAGTTTTTGTATAACAGTCATTTGTATGTAAGTTTAGTGGTTAATAGGTATTTGTCCAAACAGCTAAAATAAGCAGTAATCCTTAATTTTGATTTTTTTCTCTTTTTTTCCCCCCAAATGATGAGTTGTTTAACTGTTTTCTAGAACATACACCAATTAAATATTAGTAACAGAAATAAGGCAGAGGTTTGGGATGATGGTTAGACATGCTGAAAAATTTGGAAGTTTGTGTGTAAATTGGTATGAACCAGTATCCTCAAACGTATTAATTTTTCTGATTTTACAGAACTTGTGCTGTTCTCAGCCTGTGTTATTTTTCTACTTAATGGTTTTGTTTTGTAAGAAGGGTGAGAATTCTCTTGTAATGAGTACTTTTTTGGGTTTTTTTTGTTGGACAGTTTAAATTGGGTAGAATAAAATAAAAGAGCTTTCAGTGTTTCTAATGATGACTTTGATTAGCCCTGGATACTGCGTCACAAATCAGAATTCTACAATTCTGAAAGAAGCTGAAACAAAACAGTTTTTTCATTGTTGTCCTATGAATGTATTTTTCTTACAAGTAAAGTTACAGTAAATGCTGAAGGAAAAACATTGCAAAGCTTTTATAACTAAAAAACAGAGAACTGGTAAAATTAACAAGCATCTACTGAACTTTGCCATTGCTTGTTCTAATTTGGGCTGCTGTCACTGAGGAAAGGTTGGAAGCAGAGAACCTGCTGAAATTGGAAGAATGTCTTTTCCTGTATCTGTAATAAGTAAAAATAAAAACGATTTTATAGTCACCAAGACAATGTATTTTGATTCATGAAATGTGAATTGCAGCTGTACTAACTCCCTTTATTTCCCTAGATTGCTAGTCATAGTGGATATGTACAAGTTGACTGGAAGAGAGTTGAAAAAGATGTAAACAAAGCAAAAAAACAGTTAAAAAAGCGTGCAAATAAGGCAGCTCCCGAAATCAACACTCTGATTGAAGAGGTGAGTTGAAGGTGATAAACTCCTTTTTACCAGTCAGGTTTTCTTACCTTCCACTGCAGGTGATAATGAGTTGAAAATGCAGATGCAAAACTGGAATGCATCAAAAATAGTTTGGCTTTATAATTTATTTAAAGTTATCAGATTGTGCTGTCTTTTATTCATTCAGCTTTCTGGTTTGGTCACTGTTAAAAATGACACATGAATTTGTTCTTGGCAGGTGACAAAGCCAGTAAGGTCATGACATGGTAAAAGTTCAGGATGGTGTGGGTAAAACATGGTAACTACAAAGACAAAACCCCAATCTTCTTAGACTGCTGATAATAGAATTACTTGTCTGAACACGAATGACTTCTTTTGCAGAAAAGCTGTAGCTACTCTGTAACAGAAGTTGTGATTTTTATCTCACTTTTATACATTTTGGAGAGTATCTGTCTGCAGAATCTGCTATGTTGAGAAGAGGTAGTTGTGATACTGGTCAGTGTCACTGGGGCTGTTTCACCCTGTCATTTGAAGACTTCCATTTAATCAATTTGGTGGTTGTTTGGGGTTTTTAAAGCCTGTTTTTACATATTTTTCACATTTCATACGTGCAATCTAAGTTTCATTCTGAATAACTGAGAATCCTGACTGGGAATGTGCTGCAGACAGTGAAACAGCAGCCACACTGGTCTTCTGTAATTAATGAGTTTTTGACATCTCAGATTAAACCTATATGGAGTTGCATATAGATTGATAAAAAATTACTTTAAATTTTAATGTGAATCTGAACTGAAAGTTCAAGATTGAGGGTTTTCTTGGTGCTTCGGTACCTCAAATACCTTAACCTCTCCTTCACTGCTGTCCTGTAGAAATGGATGGAATAGGATGGGGCTTTTGGTTTTCCTTTGGTTTTTTTTCTGCTCAGATTATATGAGTTTCTTGTAACTGTGTGTTAGTTGCCAGTCTGGAGTGTTTGAAGCAGAGGATTTATGAAATGGCACATTTGATAAAAGTTGTTATACTCTGTGCTGCTACTTCATGAAATACTCTACACCCATGTCATCATACATAAGTGCTTTTTATTCCTAGGATTAAGTTGTTAGGAAACTGGCTCATAATGGAGTGCATTTCTTTTCCAATGATTTTCCAAAAAGCAGTATTTTTTTCTTTTAAATAATTACCATGTGATTGCAATTGAAGTCATGGTGGTGCTCATGCTTTTTTTGACAAGGTAGTTTGTAAAACATGTCTTATTTTAATCAAAACAAGAGTGGTATTGGCATGAAATTGCTGTAATAATTCCTCTGTATTTTGACTTTTTAAAGGTTCACTGTATTTTAAAAATATTGTTAACGACAGCTGAGAGTCAGTTTGCATTACATTGGTGCCACCTATTTTTATATGGTTTTAGACTCATGGTTTTCCCACTGCACCCTTCTCCACAAGTTTAGTGTTTTTGTTTCCAGGAAGTTATGATAAGTATAAAATAATAATGTCAGACACAATTAACTTTATGAATATCACTTTTCTTCTCAGTCAACAGAATTTATCAAACAGAACATCGTGGTGTCCAGTGGCTTTGTTGGAGGCTTTTTGCTGGGGCTGGCGTCGTAAGGACCCGAACATCTCTTCCAGATGGGATCTGTGTCAGCCAAGATCAGTTGTGACACACTCTCTGCAAGCAGTGTGGGTCACTGGACCTGCCAGAGCAAGACAAGAGGACTAGCTAGACAACTTGGGAGCTTTTACATTTCAGGCTTTTGCCTCCTGAAGCTTGGTAAAACTAGGATTTGCTGAAAAACTGTGCAGTGTGCTCATTATAGCGTTACTGGGCAAAACTGGTTCATCCTCATCATGTCTCTTTTTATCTATGGCCTTTCAAGATCTAGCATTTTTTAAAATGTTATTCTTGGAATATAGCTATGTAACCATATTATAAGAATGAAAGCTCCATTTCTATGTTTTCAGTTAAATACTGTTTATTTAAAAAGTATTTTTCTTCATGCTGTAGTAGGTAGTATCAATGACTACATACTGTATATGATATTGTGTTTTCAGCCTCCTGGCTGTCCATCTTCTTTGGAAGTCACTGCAATAATCTGTAATACCTTTTTACAGAGTATTAAATAACAAAGATTCATGAGCTTATTAAAGGTGAAAATTCATTTTGGCCTTTCCGTACATAAAAAATAAGAAAGTCTCTCAATTTTAGCCTGCAGGGATCTGGTGCCAGTGTTTGCCCAGACAGGTTTTTAAGATGGTTTTAGTGTTTTGTTACCAAGTTGTTCTAAAGACGCTGATAATCCAAACAAACAGTCAGTGCATTTTGCTGCATTTCAAACTTGAACCTTTCAGAAGTTCCTACCCAAGGAAGAGTTTGCCCTGCCTGATTTCTCAGGTCTTTACTGTAGCAGCAGATGAATGTGAACTGGAATCTCTCCCACCAGGTTTCTGTTGGGTTGCTGTTCACTTCTCTGAGCAGCCGTAGTGGTTCAGTAGCATCAGATGGATGGATGAGTGTGAACTTGGATACACAGGACATGGGATGTTGCACATATTAACCTCCTAAATATTTAGATTTGTGCATCCCTGGGCTCCAGAGGTTTTATCACATGTTGACCTCATGTTTGTGGTGTGCTTGTGGCCAAGGTGAGTAAGGTATGAGGTATGTCCTGCATACCTCTGAGCTTTAAGGATTTCATCAAGCCTGGTTAAGTCTTTGGAAAATAAATCTTAGCACACACACCTCCAAACCCAAGGTACATGAGTGGCCATGGATTCTAAGTATCTTATTTTAAATTGACTATCTGGTGTTATATAAGCAGTTGCAGTTAATTGTAAATGGGAAGCCCAAGAAGAATGTGTCTGCTGGGTTATCTGGGATTTAGAGTAAAACAAAGAAAGATGAAAATGTTAAAATATGAAAGCTTTTGCTGTGATGTTCAGTCCAAAGAATAATGGGAAGGTAACCAACCAGTCAGCTTTTTTCTGCTGATGAAGCTCATGGGTTTTTTGGCACATCCAAAGGGTACTGAAGCCAACTGACATGCGTCATCCACCCTGACTGGAATGAACTGGGTATCCTGAAGGGCTTTGGGGATGTAGTGACCACCTCAGTACCATGAACCTGTAATGTGCATTTTTGGTGTACTTTGTGAAAGGATTTCAGAGGAGCATCCTTTAGTGAGCTTGTTAAAAAGGCTGCTCATGTGACCAAGGAATTTACTTCATTGTTAGCAGCAGAATTAAAACCAGAAGAATCAGTGGGATGCAAGAGTGATTTCTGCAGAGGAAAGTTGTTCAGCTATTCTGTTGGCATCATGTGAGATTTTCAGTCAATGAGTCGAGAATTGATTGAAATACATTTGAAGCTTGTATAGTTTTATTTTTTGAGTTAGATTTTATTTTTTAAGCCTTTGGAATAAGATACAATGTTGTACATGTAAAACTGTCAGAGGGACTAAAAAGGCAAGGAGAAATGGTGTTATTGAAAAGGTGAACAGTGGTGATTTGTGCTGGGATTGGCTTCATGTCCTGGACTCCTGACTGGAAAAGGAGAATGGCTGCTGGCACAGCAGAACTTGCTGATGCAGTTCTTTGGGCTGGTGAAGCAGAGGGGATGTGCCAGCAGCTCCAGGGACAGCTGGCAGGGTGAGGTGGTGATGCAGAGGCAGCTGTGGTAAAGGACCAAGGTAAGTGCAGCTCTCCTTGCAAATACCTGAGTTTTTTTAATGTGCCAGCTCAGACCAGTCTCACCTGTGTGAGGGGATGCTCTGTAAAGGTACAGTGAAAAAATGGATGCTGATGGGGTTGGGAATGGAGTGTAACAGGAATATTGGGTGTCTGGGGGTAAAGTCTTCTCTGGGATGATTTCAGAGTTACTGCTGCCCTGTCTGACAAAAAATAATCCAGGCTAAGAAGATTCAGAGGAGAAAAGCTGGTGAGGCCCTGGCACAGGTTGCCCAGAAAAGCTGTGGCTGCCCCTGGATCCCTGGAAGTGTGCAAGGCCAGGTTGGACAGGGCTTGGAGCAACCTGGAATAGTGGAAGGTGCTTAAGGCAGGGGGGGTTGGAACTGGATGATCTTTAAGGTCTCTTCCAGCCTAAACCATCCTATGGTTCCATGAGTATAAAGGAAAAATATGGAATAAAAGTTTTTGAAGACCATTTTGTGGGGGTGGGGTGGAGGTGCGTGATTTAATCAGTTTTAGAAAGCTGATTAAGAAGGAAGGTGTTAGAAATACTTAATGAAAGGCTGACTCAGCATTTCTATAGTTTTTATTGTATAGCTGAAGAGCTTAAAAGTGGAAAACATGGATGTAGCAGTGGGAAACAGCTTTCCATAATGCTCAGTGGGTTTGTGGAATTAATTTCTGGTGTGTGCTACTGAGATCAAGGAAGAGCCCTTCATTCAGGGAAAGATGGGGCAACATGGCAAGAGTCTCAGATATATCTAAAGGTGGGAGAAAAATCACTTTAGATTTCTCTGGCCATAGTTAATAGTTTGGTGCAGTTCATGTAAAAATTCCAGCTGATCCTACCTTTTCCCTCTACAGGCTTGTGTAATTTTTTTCCCTCAAGTAGTTGTTAGCAGCCAGTTTTCAAAGTTGAATGCTTAAATAATGATTGAGGAAGGCATGGCATATATCCCCCTGGTGAACGGCTTTTGAAAGCTTATTAAATATGCATTTGGGGAGACATTGCTAATATTTGTTTTCTGCTATCTTAATGGGATAATCTATTTCCTGAAATTATTTTTTTTTAGTTAAAGAAGCATTGGGCAGTACATTTTAATTTAAGGTGAGATGCCAGCATGATCTTATTTCTGAATTTTAAGAGGCCAGAATATGGCTAAAACTTTGAAGGCTGTTTCTGCTTCAGCAGCCAGACTGAAAATTAAATTGTTGTAGTTAAAAGATAGAGCTGTCTTCCAGATTCAAGTGCATTTGTCATGAGGGCTTAAGAGGGGGAGAGGCAAACAGTAAAATGCAGGAGTCAGGATTGTAATTCAGTAATTCTGCCTATGCAGACTCCATAAATTACAGTGAATTCAGTAATGTGAAAAAGAATCAGTAATACCTCCCCCTAACCTTTTGAAAATTGTTGGAAATCTCAAAGAATTACTTTAAAAATCAAATTTTTATGGTATGCACCTCCCTGGGGTCAGTAGGTAATAGCGGAAAAAGATAATGTTCACTCAAACTAGAACAACGTGACATTTTGGAAGGGAGATTGGGCACAAAAAAAAAAAGGAAAAAAAAGTTTAATTCACCCTAGGACTGTGCATGGGGTGGGTGGATGGTGGGGGAGAACAAGAGTCAAATGTACCAGGGGAAGGAGGTGCCATCCTCCCTTGTTGGGTTGGGAAGCAGGTCTGATGCACCATGGTGATGTCTCAGTACTGGGACATGTGGGAGAGCTGCTGTTTCTTATCTTGGGGCAGTTTGGGAAGTGGGTCAGCTGGCATTCATCAGGACCTGTAAGACCAGAAGCCAATTTTAATTAGGATAATTGTGGAGTGAGTGTGCACAAAACATCTGACGCTCATACAGCACAGCCTGAACCCTTGGTTATATTTGGTCCCACACTCAAGCTTGGAGGCATCTAAATGTTGGAGTGCTGTGGGACGTGGCACAGAGGTGTAATATGGGGTTTTGTGCTCACAGCCTGGGCTGGACTCAGCACAACAAACTCCAGCACAACTGGTGCCAGGCTTGGACCTAGTTTTGCTGGACCTAGGCTGACTCCAACTCATAGCTTGGGTAAGCCAGTGCAGTGGTACAAATTTGTGTAGTTCATGGAGTCTACACTCAGAGACTCCACACTCTACACCCTCTCCCCTTTCCACAGTTCATCAGAGCAGTCTGTGTTCCTGCCTCCCTGCTGTAGTTTTGCCTGCCTTCTGTTTTTTCCACAGCTCCCAGGAACAGAGCACCACTTCATACACTGAGCTGTGACAAAGAGGAAATTCAGGGCTTCAAAATGAGGGGAAGTTGGGATAAAATCCCACAAGTCAGCTCAGTTATGGGACTTCCCAGCAGTAATGCCACTGTCTTAGCTCAGGGAAGCTGGAGGCCACATTCCCTTACCTTTTCCTGGAAAACTCTCCTTCCTAGACCAGTGCCCTACCTTCCAAACCATAAGGTGTTTTGTGAGATAACCTTGGTCTCTGTTGCTGACACCTTCTGGGGTGTGGATGGATCTCAGTGTTCATAGAGCATGGACAGGAACTTGGGTCTGGTCACCTCAAAGTTTACCTGAAATCATTTGTAAACAGTTGAATGAGCTGCTTGAAGTGGGAATGCTCCAACAGGAAGAAAAGAAAGCAGGTTACTCCCAGGACAATTGGCTGCCCATTTGGTAGGATACTTACCTAGGAACTGGAATATATTGTTATACATTCAGTCCTTGATAAGAGCTTTTTGATTTCATCATCAAACTACACAAAATCAAGTCCTCATAGCCCTAATCTGTTAAAAAACCCATTTCTGCACATGTGGACTGTAAATTTTAAAAAAATACTTAATAGAAAATGTTAATCCACAAAGAGAATTGAGTATTGAACTCTATTATTCCCATTTAACATAGACAATTTGATCTTTTGTCACAACAAGAGGCGCTCAAACACTTGCCATAGACATTCATGAGACCTGGAGAATTAGGACAAATATATCTAGCATGATTTGTAATTTAACATCTTACTTTCTTAAAGTATTAATGATGAAGTAGAGGTTATTCTGGTTTTTTGTGTGTTTAACAGACACCGAAATCATACTGCAGCCAAATTTCAGATTTTTGTTTACAGATCTCAAATCTTCTCCAGTGAGGCAATCAAATGCCTTGATAAGCCTCTATGTTTCTGAGACAGAAATCTAAGCCAAATACATCTGAATTAATCTGTAAACATAAGAAAGCCCTACAGATGTGTGAAAAGAATGTTTGAAAATCAAGAGTTGCCAAATATTATTTCAAAATCCACTTGGGCCAATAAAGAGAAGGAAGGAAAATGAACAGCAATCAGGGAGCCTGTATTCTAAATGCTCTTTATAACAGTTTATGATTGTTAAAAAACATAAAGAAAATGATTTTATGCAACATAATATTTTTTCTATTTATATGGAATATAAATATATGACATATGAGATCTAAT